CATCAGAAGCCAAACTTTCCCCCGAAAGGGATTAGGGAATTAACTCCGGGCTAACCAGGATAGGTCAAATTTAGAAAAACATGTAACCCCTGAAACAGACAAGCAGAAAAATCCTTCCTCCATCAGCGAAAGGAAGACCTTAAGTTGATCCAGGTGGAGTTAGTGACCAGTGGCCGGTACCCGCCGCGATACTCGGCGCCAATCGCATCCACCAGCAACTTCCTCCATCCAAATCTCATCCGTCCTCCCAAACTCAGTCCTCATAAAGAACTCCAGAGGACCTCATCTCAGCAGGGGCCCAGCACCATCATCACCCTGAAATTCCTTGCCCCCACAAGAATTCCAGTCTCCGTCCTCAAGGAGGTGAAACAGCATTACCCAACGCCAATCGCGCCAGAGTTCGCCCTCATCAGCCGGTACCCATCGGACAGCCTAAACTACCCAATGCCAATCGCATCTGATAAGAGCTCCCCCTAGCCAGTACCCGTCGAGCAGCCCTATTCCATCCCCCTCTCCGTCCTTGCGAAGAATCATTTCATGCCCCTTGCCCCTCACTTCAAAAAAAGACTCGGTCCCCCAAAACTTCACAAGATGGTCCACTTGGCCATCCCATGGAGCCCATGTTAAAAAATTCAATCACCATCAGAGGCCAAACTACGACTAAAACCAAGATAATTCTAGAATAGTTCAAGAATATCATTGAAAATTTTCTTCAGCAATATTCCCCCAGAAGGGATTAGGGAATTAACATCGGACGAGATCAGAAAATTCCAATTACACGAGTAAACATTAGAACAAGTATTTATACCTCAAAATTAAAATCTGACGTTCGAACCTCGGAACAGGAAGATCATCTAGAAAGTAAATTTGGATTTTTCAAGTTTAAGATGATTTATCCGAATTTAGTATATTTACTATATTACAATCTGATTTTTAATTCTCGAAGTTCTCACAGATAGATCAAAAATAGACTCAACCAGTTAGGAAACTAAACTAGGAAGAAAAAAAGATATGGTAAGGATAAAAACAACAATTTAAGATCAGAAAACGAAATGAGTTAAAGGATCCGGAATCTTATCGAGATATTGAACAGAGAGTCAAAGGACGAGATAGCACTAGCTTTAAGCTCATGAAAAACGTTGGAAACCCGCCCAAGACAAGCTGTAAGGGTCATTTGGACTACAATAGGACTTTTAGTAATCGAAACACGACAATTTTAGATGGGTACAAAGAAGAGGAAACTTACCGTAAACAAAACAACGACCTCCCCCCCCCTCCTCCAAACCTCACCTCCTCGTCCTTCATCGGCTATGGTCGACTATACTAATCCGCCACCTCAAAAAAGTCGGGCGATGAAGATAAACAGATGTCGCTTGAACCACAATCACAGTAGCCCAAACCACGTCGTGAGGCTACCTGCTGAGCCTGCCAGTCGCCCTCACAGGTAGTCCAAAGAGATGAAGGGGGTATTGTCGTTTGCAATTGCACCCTCCCGTCACAAACCTACCTCCTGCCCTTACAACCATGATCCCCCACCACGCCACCCCGTACCCCTCTCAAACGCCCTCACAATGTTCCTCCTCTTCGACCAAAAGTACAGCATCGCAGGATGGCGCCTCTCATGTTCCTCCACGCAGTGCCCAATGAACTTCGTCTAACCACTCCCCTCCACCCTCCACTCGCCTGGCGATGGTAGTCACCCTCTCACAGCCTCCTGCTGCTAGCCACCTGTGAAACTTCGGGCACCACCACACCGTCGCCCTCCTGCCGCAAGCCACCCTCCACCGCGCCGCCTCAGGAAAAGTCCAGCACCACAGCGCGAAGGCCTGGGTGGCGGAGCGCTCCCGGTAACGCTCCGCCGCTTAACGCTCGCAAAGGTGGAAAGGCAATCTGGTTTCACCTTCTCAGGAATCTGGCTTTGTGGGTGATCTGGAAAAGGAGGTGTACCAAGACTATCGAGAGAACTGAGGTGGCAAGGGTAGAAATGTGGGCCCTACTGCTGGTTAGGGCGGAAACTGAGATTCGGTGCAGGTGGAGGGAGGTGACGTCAACAACAAAGGCCAGACTAGAAAGGCTAGCTGCCAAGATACATACTGCCATGAGAGACTGGCTTCTACAGAGAAAGATCGCAACAGTGGCAGATAACAGACTGATCTGGAAGAAATGGCACAGTGAAACTCCAGCAAGGACGACGACCCAGTGATGGGAAAATTGAGACCATAGTCTCAGCAATATAGACAACTGTCCTCCTTTCTTGTTGCACACGAACTATATGACGGAATCACAATAGATTCTGAGAGGAAGAGAGGAAGGGCAAGCTGACAGTCAATCTCCTGAACAGAAGCAATCAATGCTGGTCAGGGTTCCCTCGGCCAGACGGAAGGAAGCGTAAGAGTGTTCACCATGTATGCCAATTCATTCTCGACTTACTGGTGGAAAGGAACGGGGGGGGGGGAAGGGGGCAGGGAGAGAGAGAGAGAAAGAGAGAGAGAGGCGGCAACTTTGTCAGGGCGTGAGTATGACAGCAGCTCGCTCATCCACCAAGGCACACGAACGACAGCACTATTGCAAGAATCAACTGCAAGAAACCACACGTCAAAAGGGATGTGCATACATAAACAGACACGTACGACAAAGACACAGGTGAACCCTGACTACTGAATGGTCCTTTCCAACGAACAGAGGCGGTGGGACCGATGAAGCAGAAATGCAAGGGCCCGAAGTACCAGGCCAACAGCCTGGATCCATGCACGGCATTAAGATTGTAAAAGATCAGGCACCAATCTGCCCTGTTGGCTCTGTAGGGCCCGACGGCCCAAATGAAAAGTTCGCTACATCAATGCAATGGTCCAGTCCATCAGTCGTCTAAGAGCCAACGGCCTGGAGCTGAGATTTGTTACAGTGATGCAATGATCTGTAACGTGGGCCAGTAGGATCGGAGAGTGTCCGGGCCCATGATTTTACTGTGGGGACACTATCCCATCCCAAAAGTGGACAGTGCCACTTGCAAAAAAAACTGCGCTGGGACCGACACAAGACCGGCCCTCCCCTTGCCTCACCCTGATAATACACAGCACCCCCTCCCGCAACGGGTGTAGCAGGCCCACGGATATCGCATCACCCGACTACAAGCCCAAAGGTCAACTCCGTTTATCTTACCAGGTTCAACCACAGGTACCTTCCCCAGTTGTTGTCTTCCAACTCATTTGTATACAACCGCTCGGGGGCTTAACCTGCCAGACCTCTTTGACTGGCTGCGCCAGCCAAATTCGAAAAAAATCGCATCACACCGGTTCGTTTTTGATTTGGCACAGAGCACAAATCCAGGTCAGGAAAACACGATTTGGAGGTGGTTTAAACCACCAGTACATGCCAGCAATCGGCCGAGGGCCCCTTTCGGAGGCCGCCTGCCGCCGATTTATTTCATCTACGGTGCAGGAGCCTTCAAATTTTAGGAGAGGTTCAATCGCATTCTCATTTGCTGGTGCTTTGAGCACACAGCGCATGCGTCTGCAAAGATCAACATCGGAATGACCGAACCGTGAGCAACAGAACATAACGGGGCGAATAAGGGAGTCGAGGATTGGCAGGAGATGCAGGACAAGCATGAAAGGCGACAGACAATAAGACACTGAGGAAGCAACCAAAACAAGCATACACTGACCTCCTCTATAGCGTCCGTAGTCGTACGCCACTACTCCTCCATCACCCTCTTTCCCCTCCCTCTGTCCCTTTGCTGCCTTCCCTCTCCATACCACATTCTGTCAGAAACTTGATGGCGAAGCCACCGGTTTTCGTCACTCGCCTTTGCAGATGAATAGCTTGCAATTGTGTAAGCGGATCTCCGCTTTGCAGGGCAACAAATCAGCATTGAACCTGGCATGGAATCAATCGACAGACGGTGACCACTCGCTGGCCTTGCAGTATGACTTTGCCAACTCCGTAAGGTGATGGAATCAATCGATCATCGTTTTGTGGATTGCCAGCAGTGAGAATCAGCATTCAGGAACAGCCAACAGTAACAAAGCAACACCGACAGCTCTCACGTCCACTCAAACAAAAAATGGCAGAAGCATGACAGTGGCGACACCTGTGCAGATGAAGATTAACCCAAAGACAAGGGGGGGGGGAAGAAGCAAGTCCTGGGCAGGACCAGCGTTTAGAAAAGTCACATACAAAGGGGAGGAGGTGCCACATGCAGACGACAACAGGGAGCAGCTGATAGGACCTTTATAATTCAAAACAAAACCGAGATGGCCATGCCACCAGTACAAGCTGCGAAGCGAAGTGGCCAACGGGTCCACCCAAAGACTTCAATGACAAGAAAAGGATGAAAACTAAAAGTTCTAAATCCAACAGCAATAAGGGCAACACCAAGCAGAATGCGCCAAGAATGGAAGGAGTGAGAAACTGCAACAGGAGGCGACAAGAAAGCAAAGGGAATCAACCACACAGAGTATAGGCATAGGGGACACGAGACCACATACAATCATACTGCATAGTACACTGGGTACCAAAAACAAGCAAACATCATCAAGCTGAACAGGCCACAGGACTGAGGTAACACTGGGTACCAATTACGCTTTACGGCCAGTTTTATCCAGTCGTTTTTCAGGTTTGTTCCGACCCTTCCTTTTGTTTTGTTTCTGTGATGCAAAAGTTAGGCAAGGGGTACGCATTCACCGTTCTCCATGAACACTACCCTAGCACAGCTCATGACACCAGTTCTCGAGTAAGCTTCCACTCACTCTTTCAGGACTCGCTTTGAACAATCCACACCAAGAGAAATTCTGTATTGCTCCCACTCATACATTTAGTGCCATATAATCAATTACCAGTGGCGGGGRGAGGGGGGGGGRAAGGGGGGGGGGGGGGGGGGKSTTCTGTACAGTACAATTTACGCCAACCATACTCATGGAGACAATGGAATATCAACTGTGCATTCCTTGCCAAATAAATGTACAACCATAAGCGGGGCTTACCCCGGACAGTGGCAGACGCTGAAAAATGCTTCAACTCTAACTGCTTCTTGACTGTCTAAACTTGTGCTTTCTTGACAATGTGTTCACAGACTCGCGTGGAGATTAATCATTGAAGAAAGAACTACTAGCGGAGGTTTATTGCATGGATGGATGCTGACACCCCCTCCACGGTGCCATCCATGAGCGTGAGTGGCAAGGCTATGTATTACAAGAAAGAAGGCAAAAGGCCGGGCATACCTAACAGAGAAGCGCCCACAGACAACTAACAGTTCCGCCTCGGGCTTCCAGAGAACGGAGTGCAGAGCAGAGGAGCATCTTTTACAAAGGACAGGACCTCGTCACCCAAGAGCCGTGTGGAGATATGACGCACAGGTGTAAACATAGTAAGCTAACAGCCGTCTCAGCAGCTTCAGAGGGATCGGCGGCAAATTTCCAAAATCCTATCTTTTGCACACAAGCATGTCCCTCGTTACCTACAGCATCTTCTGCATGTGATCCACCCTAACCAGATCTCCTAATGCAGAAGCTCATGCCCGCTTCAGTGCTGGGAGGGCAGTCTGCTTCCAGTTGCATTTTTCCCTTATCTTTCTCCCCCTGCCGGCATCAGCGTGACATCTGCATTGGCAGCTCGTGTGCCAGCCATCGTTTGCAAAGATCCCACACTGCAAGAGCACCAGACTTCCGCGCTTCGTGTGCAACCAGCTGCACATCAGGAATGCTGTTTGCTCGAGATGCAATCTGGAAAGCACTCTTCAACCGCCTGCTCAGTACACAGGCCAGAACTTTCCTGTGGTCACTTTTCAGCTCCTCGATAAGTCTGTCATCCGGACGCTCTTTAAGTTTTGTGACATACACATTGATTGCAGCTCCGACAACTTGATCGTAATCATCATCATCGATTGTGGAGTTGATATTCCGCAGAAGCTCCCACAATGCACCGTTTTTCCGTTTCTGTGCAAGGTTTGCTGCGACTCCGGCATATATGTGGACGGCTGGCAGATTAAGAGAGTAGATGACCCGGAACGCAAGGTCGAAGTTGCGCTCTACAAGAAGCTCTGCAAGCTCACAGCGACGCCTGTGAGTATCAGCATCATTTGGGTTTCCAAACAGTGAGTACTTCCACGGAGGACCTTCAGCATCAGTGAAGGACTTGACAACTTCCATTTGAATGGCTATGCGGGAGCTGAACTTCAGCAGTTCCTCCTCTGTAAGGCGTGCAGATGCACTCTTACCTCGGGTTCCCCTCATCCCCATTCTAGATGAGCCATGACCTTCCATCGTGGCCTGCTGCCTTGCGGCAAGCCCACTGTCGAAGTGATTCTTTGCATGCTCAAGATGACGGAGAGCCTGATCCTGTTGCGCAGAGTTCAGGAACAACTGAATGCAGGTCAGTCCTGCAGCAACTTGATCTTTCTGAAGAACCTGGAAACTGTAGAGGTGATTGAAGTGCCGATGTGCCTCACAATACACACATATCCTCTGAAGAGCTGCAGCATTGTGTAGTGCAGTGGCATGATCCGAGCCGTTGCGGTTCAAGATCACACGCTCCAGAATGCGCATGGCACCGTGCGCTATGCAGTGCTCACAGAGTTCGTCCAGGGTCCCATAGTCAGTGTTAAGCGGGTCCGGGAGAAGCTTGTCGAGAGGGAAGAAAAGCAAGCAAGCATCCATGTAGCGACCGTGGCGAAACATGAATGACATCAGTTCACGGGGGTAATACTGCTTCAAGTAAAAGATACATTCTTCGTACCGAACCTCAGACAAGTAGCTTCCGGCAGAGTCATCACCGTTCAAATGGGAGCCGCCATGGCCGCTGCCCTCGCCAGAGTCTTCTGATGAACGGCGCGGTTTCGTCACCGCTGGTCCGTTCATCAGGTTCAGCACATTCAGATATGCATCTTGAGAAAGGGCCTCTTCCGAAGAACAGGACACACTCTTCACCATATGGGCATACAGTGATCGAGCGGCTGCAATGTCTGCAGGCTGGTTAAACTCCAGTGCCTGGACTACGCGGAGTACTAGGTCTGAGGGATCACCCAGATGCGACTTGATGGCTTGCCTGAATTTGGTGCGAGCCCCCTTGTAGTCCTCGATGATCAAAAGTGCTCGACCCCATGCTTCCCAAGCAGGAACTGGATCGACCTTGCATTTCTTGCAAGCGTAGACAGCCATATTGTAACGCTCCTTCTTTATCAACCTGTCACGCAGCGCACACGCACTTTCTTCACTAAGTAAGTCATCGATCGATGCTGCCACTCCTGCACCCAATAGAGTTTGAAGCAATTGCACTCTCGCCAACCAAGCAACCACCAGTGCAAGCAGCTCGTGCGCATCAGACGCACCATCCTTGTGGTCATCCTCTTCCTCATTTTGCTCTCCCCTATCACCATCGTCTTCCATATCAGCAGTCTGGCTTGCTGAGCTGTCTAGAGCATAAGACAACTTTAATCCCTTCTTAAGGAGGGCCTGTGCATGCAGCAAGGCCCGCGTAAATGTCTCAGCAGCATGGAGTGCTGACTCAACAGCCGCCGGAGGGGCATCTGGAGGCAGTTGCTGCGAGGACAGCAACTCCTTTATTTGCTCTTCACACACCTGGACCGTCATCCTTGCAGCGTACCCCTTGTCGGAGCAAAGTTCCAGCAAGGCCTCAAAAAGCCTGATGTTCGGAGTGATTCCGAATGTGTGCGCTTTGCGAATGCCCGCATCCTTTTCGGGATCGCCGGTAAGTGCGCGGTCATCTCCAATTGAGGCTGCAACTGCTGCTTGCTGCTGGGCATCCAACGTTCGACGGAGAGCACTGTGGCTGGGTCCCTCGGTGCTCTCTCTTGCCCCAGCTCCAGAAGTCACATGTTGCATCACAGGGAGGTTGCTGTTTCGAAATGTACTCTGCCGCCGCTGCTCGGCTATCTGCTCTGTCTGTTGAGCTTGTGATTGTCGACTCACTCTGCTCCCCGAAGAAGTCCAGTTGAATGCACGGCGAGTTATCTCCTTGGCGAAAGTAGCGGTGGTGCTGTGTGCACGGCTTGCAAGAGTTCGAGAAGGCTCCTTGGGTGTCAGACACTGGCCAACCGTTGCCGGAGACTGAGGCGAAGGCATAGGGGTGCTTGTCGGCGTAAGAAAATCTGGGCAGACTTGAGCAGGTGCAGCCGCAATTGCTTTTTTTGCGTACTCCACTATGAGCACATCATCTTGCAACGAAGGGAAAACCTTCAAGAGCTGTGCTGCTGCCGGCAGCTGTTTTCCCATAACCAGGGTCTCCAGGATGAGTCGTGGGTGTTCGTGGAGATTGGCACAGCGCTGTTGCCAAGGCAACGGTAAGGCTCCTAACATTTGCAAGCCCATCGCCTGACGCTCCAGCCTCTGGCGCGCTGCATCCGGCAAGCTATTCACCCTCCTCTTAAGCAAGTAGTTTATCAGCAGCTGCTTTAAGCGCAATGCAGGCAACTCCTTCATGGCAGCCATTCCCACAGCAAGGGCATCTTCAACGCTTTTCAGACTCTCCAGGAACCTGAGACCTTTCGCAGGACCTCCTCCTTTAAGCGGATCGGACGTCATCAGTTTGACAACATAGTGACTCTGCAGTTCTCGCCGTACCTCCTCGGAGAGACTGCAGGCATCGGCAACCTCAACTGCCACAGCTACAGCTCCTTTCTGCAATAACCTCATGGCCAGGCCCTCCGGATCCTGCGCGTAACTCATTTCTACTTCCTGCCAACTTGCAAACGATCCATCGGCCTTCATGATTCGTTCGTATCGCTTCAACTGCCTCCTCATGTGTTGAACCTCCGACTTCCTCATATCATTTGGCCGAAGGTGGCAATCGCACATGCTGAGCACGTCCAAGGCTGCAGTCAAATCCCAGAGATGCAGATGCTTGAGAGCAAGATTGGCGGCAAGCCTTTTGTCGTGCATTCTTATGCAAAAGCGCCAGCTCTGGAGGGCATGCACGCTGGAGGAGGATGACTGCACAATTTTGTGCTCGCGCTCCATGAGCATCTGCAGCAACTGGTCAGGTGCTCCCTCCGGCAACCATTTATCAGCCATCACCAGAGACTCTGCAAGCTTCCCGTCCTCCATCAACCGCTGTACCGCTTGCCGATAAGGTCTATCATCCTCCCAATCGTACTGCAGGATGGTTGCTTGGACCTCTGCATCTCTGCGGCCACTAGGGGCTGCACCTGATTGCCTAAGCCATTCCAAGGCCCCGGGCCATGGAGGATAACAACTCGTGGCGGAGGCGGCAGCACCGTTGTCGTTAGTCTCACTGGCCAGGTTCAAGACACAGTTCTCCCTTGCTTTCTCCCTTGCTTGAAGTGAACCGATCTTCTCCTGAGGTTCCGTATCTGCTTGCTGGTGTTCTCCCTCTTCTCTCCCCTCCTCCAAATCCGCCTCCAGTCGAGTTCTCTTTCTCCGGCTCTGTTTCACCGCTGGAGCCTGGGCGGCACCCTCATCCTTGGAAGCTCTGGGCGGGTAGGAAAACTTCTCAGAAAACTTTTGTACCGTGTTCTGCACCAAGAGCCAGCGCTTCAGGGCCGGATACCGCTCCGCCTGCGCCATAGCAAAGTCAGAGAACTGTCTGTCCATGACCAGCGTCTGGTGTGCTCCCGGCACACATGCAGATGTCATCTGGCTGCTCCCAAAAGCAGCTGCGAGGATTGCCCGCACAGGGGACATGCTGGCAAGCTGCTTCACCACATCCACCTGCAGCGGATACACCTGTGGTGTTTGTTCTGAACCGGAAGCTTGAGGCTGCAACTGGCCACCGCTGGAAACAAGGGGTTGCACGGGTCGCCGCTCAACCATCCTGATCTGTGCCCATCCGCTGCTGCGCACAGGAGGGTACACAGGCGGCACACAAGCAGAGATCACCTGATGGACAAGGTCAGCCCCCATCAAAGCTGCCACCTTTCCGGCTGCGTCCGTGCTCCCCCTCTCAAAAACCAGTCTCGTCAACAGGTCGTTGGGCCTCTCGTACACCAAAGAGAAAAAGTTGAAGGTGTGGGTCGTGTCAATGTCATCCACGATATCGCCAGTGGTGGCAATGTAATGCACAAATGCTGGAAGATACCCGAGCAGTTTGTTTGCGGGTGTCACCCATGGTGACCGGGATCCCTGTGCTCCTCCTGCAGCAGACATCACGCTCCCACCCTCGACCCTCTTCGAGAGGAGAAGCGAGCGCTGTGATGGTGCAAGACCCGTCCCTCCGACACCGGCAGCACATCGAGGGGTGTGCGACGTCAGGATTGCTGAGGACACTGCAGGAGTTGTTGGACCAGGGCTTCGCCCGGCCAACCGAAGGCCCAGCCCAAGTCCCTTCTCCAACAAACTGCCCTTGCTCCGCGAGGTCGGCACCTCTAGCTGAGGCAGACCATCCCCATCCTCTTCCGACAGGGCTTTTACAAGGTTATGAAGCTTCCCACTGAGGAACTGTCTCTTTCCCTGGAAGGCATCCTCGATGGCCTGGTGCAACGCATCGATGGCTCGTTGTCGGGCCCTCGGCGGAAGCAAGCCTTCAAAAACGGACGTGCTCAGAGTGTCGGCTGTGTCAGCCATCCTGGCCAGAAGTTTGTGCAGCGGCTGAGAGCCATCCTGCTCCTGAAGATCCTGAAGCCGCTGCAGGAACTGCCTTGCCACGTGCACGATGGCGTCGTCATGCTGGGGAGTGCCATCGGAGCTTCCAGAACCATTCTGCCTGGCCACTGCTAGCTGCTGCAATTTGGATGCAGCAGCGTGGGCTTGCGACAGCAGGCCTTTGCACACAGCAGGCATGCGTGCTGCCGTCGCAGCAATATCCAAGCACAGCATCAAACTGGTGAGCGGGGTCAGGGACCCCTGTAGAGATGCCAAGCTCAACGTGTCTGATGAGGAGCCGCCCTTGGATGACGACAACGATTTCTCACCACCCTCTGCCAGAGCTTTTGCGCCGACACCATCCACCCACTCCGCCAAATGCAGAGCAGCAGCTTCATGCGGCGGCAGGCGAAACCGGGAGACGGCCTCCTCCCCCAGTGCGTACTCCCCTCTTTGAACGCACATGTTCAGCAGACTGCTGGGAGATGCCCTAAGCAGACAAAGGGCCTCTTTCCACTCCCATTCGCGGCTAAGGCCTGGTGCCATGCGCCGCAGCACCTCAACTCGCCACTCCCAATCCTCTATAAACCGAAGCGCTTCCTCGGCCATTCTCCTCCACACCAAATTTGCGGCAGGGTGTGCCCCTCCTACATAAGATTCTTCTCCGGAAGCTGCAGTTACGGCAACACCGCCAGGGTCCAGCCCACCTAAAGGCAGACATTGCCTGAGAATGGACAGCAGCTGGCTGATGAAATCGACGGCCAGCCCACAGTCCTCCGCCCTCCCACTCTTATTCCGACTTCTCATCCGTGCCGGCATCCTGCGACCTTGACCTGCCCCATCGCCGCCCTGTCCGGGGCCCGAACCCGCTGCCATCGGTCCCCCCACTCCGATGTCCATGTGCAGCAGATGACGAATGACACCAATCATCCAGATCCGTCGGAGGGGCGTCGAGAGGGCATAGAGATGCCTCGACAGTTCCACGAGCGAGGGCATACACGAGGCGCCCCCGCTCCTCCACAGATCGCCACGTGGATCCGCAGCAGTCGCAGAGGCATAATCCATGGCCTGAAGCGCAGAAACCGCAGACTGAATTGCATAGCTCATATGCACCAGCTCAACGTCATGATCTCTCCCGGCTATCAATGCTCTCTTCTTGAACACCGGCTGAGCGCTAATCAGCTCCAAGGCGTTGTCCGCCGAGATGTCGGGAACTACATCGTACAGAACGCGAATGGAAGAGAGACTCCCCAGCAGCTCAAGCATTAAGTTGGCGCCAAATTCGTAAGCCGATTGCCCTCCTCCCACATCATCATCATCATCCGCTGCTGCACCTACGCCGGCCTCCACTCCAGACCCATCACGTCGGGCACGATCACCACAGTACCTGTCCCCCACGAAGAATGCTAGCCTCAGATGATAACACAGCTGGTCACATAACAGCTCAATCAAAGATTGCTCATTGTCCGGAGAGGCTGCTAACAATTGCCCATGATCCGTCGTCGTCCACAACACCTGCATCATGTTTTTTCTCGCTCCTATGTCTCCCGCCAAAAGATCCCAACCCATAACCGCCATAAGCGGTCGCATCCGTGGAAACAGCCTTAGGATGTCGGACGCTAATCCAAATTCACGGTGCTGCACAGCCTCCACAGCAATCTTTGCTGCACGACTTAGCACGTGCTCTCCCTTTACCCGCGCATGATGATATAGCTCTATTGAACACCTAAACAATGCCGATTTCATGAGAGCATCATCAACGGGCCCACCGAGTGCTCTTCTTCTCAGTTTGTCAAGTGCTCCGCAGAAGTTGACAAGAGGCGCCGGTACTCCCTGCAATCCTCCGACACAGTTGTTGCGATCATCGCTCGCCCTGATTGCCTCATCGAGAACAGACTCCAACAGCACGAGAACGCCCGTACAGCCCGAGGCCATAGCACCCTCGATGAGTTTGGCCGCTAGGTAAGGACTGTCCTCTGGGTTCTCCTCCTCCTCCTCCTCCTCCTCCTCCTCTTCCTCCTCCCCTCGATCATCAATCAGACCGGCCTTCGCCGCTAGCCGCAGAAGGACTTCTCTGAGTCTATCCTGCTGAGACATGTCGTAACGATCATCGGTGAAATAACGCAACCTTTCACAGGCACTCTCGTACTCCCCCGTGTCGATAAGTGCGTTGATGACAGAAAACTGCGCGTCCTGAATGGCCCGGAAGAGCGCATCACTCTCTTTAGCCCCCGATTTCCCTCCTCCTTCCTCCTCCTCCTCCTCCTTGCCAGCATCCTTTCCGCTGCTTGGTTCCATAACGGAGGACGACGGCATGCGTCCTACTGCCAGCTGCTGCCTTCTACGCGCATTTCGGCAGAGCGCATCCACAAGCTCCGGACGCTGCATAAGCAGTCTATGCAGCGCCCGCTTCGTGCCACGTGGCAGCGCCTCTCCGCTCTCAGCAGGTGCTGAAACACCGTTCGACCTTCGCACTCCTGATCCTCGCCCCGTTTTCACCGATGACTCAGCACTTGGAAATGATGACGACGCCGTTTGCCTTCTTTTCCCCTCGCCCATGCGGTCTTCCTCCTCCTCTCCCACTTCCCTATCCCTTCCTCTTCCTCCCTCCACAACCACCTCCCCCACTTCGTCGATCGTTCCGGGAACATTCAGAGCGATCAGCTCCTCCGCGCTCCATCCCCAGTATCTCCGGAGTAAGGCCCGCAGCTCATCGTCGCTCATCATCGCCGCTTCTCCTCCTCTCCCGGCAGATTCATCATCGCCAGCGGCAGCAGCACCAGCATCAACTCCGTCGGCGCCTTCATTTATCCCCACGTCTCCCGGCTCACTTTCATTTCCTACTCCACGTGGCAGAGATTCCAACAACAATTCAAATTCCGCCCGATCTATTACGCCACGTGGCCGCTCTTGACAGCCTCCAATGGCAAGTAACCGCACATACTCGCCTAGGCAAAACCACACCAAGTGCGCTGCCGACTTCACCGAACTGGACTTCAAGCATCCGACTTCGTGAAGTTTCCCGCCTAATACGATCACATCACGCAAATTGCAAAGCGCTCGCCGCCGGTCCTTTCGAAACAGATCTTCAGCAGCTGCTCGCGCGAGTTCAAGCTGCCCCAGCACCAAATGGTTGAGAAATAATTGGGAGAGCAAATCCCCCTCCATCTCGCTCCTCTCCTCTCCTCTTTCTCTCCTCTGCAGTCTTCTCTACTCCACTCCCGTATGCTCCGCACCCTTACCCGCCAGTATCGCTTTCCCGCTCCTCACCCTTGTACGGAACAACACGTGGCCTTATCTTCATTTTCCTACAACGCGATCGCCCTTCACCCGAGACTCGTTTCCACGCCTCTTCCGATCCCATCCCTCTCCCCCCGCAACCAAATCCTGCTCCATACGACTCCTCTCCTCTTCTCTGTTCGGCTCTCCCCTATCAGCACCGCACTCTCCTGCGACTATGGCTTCCTCTCCCTTGGCCTTCTTACCGCACGACACGTGGCGTTAACTTCTTCCTCCTCTAACGCCACGTGTCGTGCTTCTCCTCTATGATAGACGGCCTTCTTTGAGCCGTCTATCATCTTCTCGCATCTCCAAACATCGTTGCTCTCCTCTGCACCTCCAAAACCACCTCTTTCTCTCTCTCTCTCTCTCTCTCTCTCTCTCTCTCTCTCTCTCTCTCTCTCTCTCT